AAAAATCTATTTCGAGATTTTTTTTTTGAGTTTGTGCCACTTTCTAGTCTAGTCACTAGACCTATTGCATTTACCGCTTGATTTCAAAGAAGATGATGGCAACGCTATGCACTAAAACATGCTGATGGGTCATTTTTATCTCAGAAAGTGGTACAACCTTAAGCTTCTCTAGCACACCTCTGGAACTCCAAATACAAGATGAAACTAACAGCACTATCAAGCCCAGAGTGCATGGTCTACATGTACTTAAAAGGAGGACAAGTTTACAAATTTATGGATCCATGAGGAGACGGATAAATGGAGCAAAATAACCATTTAAATGTCACAACTGCCGGTGAATACATTGTACATGCACTAAATAGTAAAGTGTGTTTGAAACTGATCAATGGATGTGCTCATTACAATGGAAGTATTAGTAAAATGTCAGTGATGATGGAGTGAACAGAAAAACGAAATATAGTAAATTATTTTCTTTCTTTTTTTTAACTTAATCGTGTTGTTATATATTAAAGAAGACTATCTGTAAAATGTACATCTACAATTAACTTTGCGCGCAGTGACCATCTTAAATTAAGGGGCAATGCTTCTGTTGTGCAGGGTCATGCATGGGCAAAAGAAAGTGCGCATTTACTGTGAATGGCTTACAGTATATCAATTGTGTAGCGTGGTGTAACCTGTCTGTGTACCCTCATTAATTTAAGCAGGCAGAAGCATGGAGCGTTTGACTTTGCCTTTGCGTTTGACTTTAAATACTAGAGCCTCCTCTTTCGTGTCAAAGTAGTTTTCCGGCTCATGCTCGGCATTTCCAGTCGACTCCTACTAACGAACTTAGTTATAAAAAGATTCCGGATATTGTTTGTATACGCACAATCCCTTGGTCATGAGAACTTGGTAAAAACGAGATTTCATGGATTCATATGAATATTTTCATCAGTTTAATTGCACATCATTATCAGTACAATTTGTACAGATGTAGAAAATTTACTGGCAGCAATCCGAAGTGATGAGTCAGGGGCTTCCTTTTGCATGGTATAATGTCTTTCCAGTAGGAAACTTAACGGATAGATTTTGCGAGTTTCAAAATTCCACGTGAGGCACAAAATTGCCATCGTTTCAAGCATCCTGCCTGTTATCTGTAACAGTTGGACGGACACACTGGCACAGTTGCTCTCTGCCTTGGAACAGATGGGGGATATTGGAACAATAGTCAGTTGTCAAAATTGTATGAAAACCTATAAGCTGCAATTACTTAAGACATTCTGCTTGTCCATTTTAGGTTGTAAGGAAGAGGAGATTAAACGACACTTCCACCAGGCACGTCCACATCCACGTCACGTCCACCTGGCAGAAGAAATAGATTGATGGCAGTGGTGTTACGAGTCCCTAAATTGGTGTTGACTCGAGTCGAGTCATTTTAACGTTGTGAGTCGAGTCGAGTCATTAAGTCGAGTCACTTTGTGAAGTCGAGTCGAGTCAAGTACCGTGCTGGAGTCAATTTGAGTCAAACGTTTTGAACAAAATACAATAATAACACAACTACATATGAGTCAGTTTTTGGTATTTTTATTTTCATTTAGACACACTGAAAATAAACCAGGGTGACAGTATCGAGCCAACTAATATTTCGCTTTACATTTTTTTGAGACTCGAGTCTTATTAGCTTGTACTCGAGTCGAATCTCTGTGAGAAAGTGGAGTCAAATCATTTGGTCGCGGAGACTCGATTCGAGCCATTTACCTGTCGGTACCCGAGTCGAGTCGCCAAAAATTGTGACTCGAGTCGGACTGGGTCAAGTCATCGACTCAGTCATTACAACTCTTCTCACTGCCTGGTTCTAGACAAAAACTTCATGCCAGTGCTTGCAAAGGTGTGAAAGAAGGTCCCTCTTTTGTTCTGCAGCATATGGGCCAAAATCCTCCTGAGTAAGCTACGTAGCTAAGATTAGTTGAACTACACTAAGATAATAAAGGCCAGTAGCTTACTGGGCCGAGATTTTCTAAGTGGGCACCGGGGATGCACACCTCTTTTAGGGGCTCTGATCGAATCCAATTAACTGTATCTAGCTCGTAGGAAGTGTGGGTTATGTACGTTTTCACAGTTTCAAATATAAGAACCTGGGTGAATGGACCTCCGCAGCCCCCATCCCTGTGATGCCACAAGTACAGACATTGTGTACTTTGGCCCCGAACAAATTGCAACCAAAATACATGTATTCTCACTTTTTTGATATTTTGCCTAAATCCTGTATAACATACTAAATGTCCTTCAGGGAGTTCTCTGAGGAGAATGTTTCAAAACTGGATAGACATTTTCACATGTTTTTCACATTTTCACATTTTCACATGCCCCTTTTCATAGGACCAGAGAATTGAGCTCGGGACACCATCATGTCCCCATCCTTAATTCTATGTGGAGTGACCAATTTTCCTAGACATTGGTAGGAATGATGATTGGCCGTCCGCTGGGCTGTAATTTCATGCCGTCTTCATTGCCATGTTTGTCTTGTTTTTTGTGTCTTGCCTAATAGGAGTTTAAATATCTCCATGTGAATTTTCATATTCAGGAGCAAAACTGAGATGTCACACCAGGCAATCTCAAAGTGACATTGATTTTTTGGCTCAAAAATATACTGGAATTTTAAGTCATATCAAGAAATGAACACTGCTTTCCGAAATATTCCTTTACGTTATTATTTGTGCTTCGTTGTTGTGTTAGTACACAATAAGCAAGTCTTCCCTTGGGAATGTTTTCATTGACCACAAATTTGGGTTTTCAGTTTGAACACAAAATCAAATACCGCGGCAACAGCAGTTATAGCATGAGTTATTGTCCAAACTTGTAACAGTCACTCTCTGCCTAGGGACAGATGGGGAATATGAGAACATAGCCAGTTGTCAAAACTGTATGAAAACCAAACACAGTCGTGATATCACTGGAAAAGGTCTAAAGTGCTACGTTCCTTTGTGAAATTTATCTCCATCAGCGATGTCAATATATTGCCCGGGAACACTTTAAGCTGAATAAAATCTTTACAAGATGTTCAGCATTGCTGTTGCACAATTGCAATTTAGAATACTCAGTTTGGCAAAATTTTATTTTTCTACCTCCAGCTAATTGGGTATTGTTAAAATAATGATCGATTTGGAATGCACCATAACAAAGTAGGGGCGTATGACTTCAAAGGGGGCGCACGACTCCGCTTTAATCAATGAGACCAACACTCAGGTATAGGGTTTTCACCTGTACCGCGCACTTTATTCCAAGCACGTGGGGGTGTGCGTCCATGTGTTTCAAGTTATCGGATATTCCTGTATTATGCCTGCGGGAACTTTCAGTAACAGCATTGTACGAATAGATTTTTTGGTCAGCTGATGTGAAAGACACCAATCGTGTACAACAACCACCACGTGGTCGAAGCATCAACCGAATACAGGATTTCTAAACGCTAGAGAAATGGTAAGTAGGACTACGTGTACTGAAAATCTCGAAAAGTGAGATGGCAAGCTATTTCAGAGCTGAACTTTCCTGTCGATACATGAGCCGAGCAGAGCAAGCTTTATAGAGGAATTTTTTAATTGAAGCGGAAACCAATACTGGGTAAAGTATTCCTTCCGTCCAAACTCTTATTGTTTTGATGTGGTCGTATCCAAAATGGTGTGATAAGTTAGTCTATTCTCGTTAAAACCTAACAGCATAATGCACCGTAGCTTTGGGAGTCCCATTAAGAAGCTACACCATATACTGAAAAATCATGTATCGTAGAATTGCATCTGTTACAAGTAGGGAGGGAGAATGAAAAAAAAAGAAACAGCAAATTTCGTGATGCGATGTCTTACAGAAAACAAGCAATTTCTCTGA